TACCATCTGCAGCGTTGGCATCCCATTAGGGAGCCGGTTCGAGTCCCAGCTGCTCCACTTCAGATCCAGCTCTCTGCTATGGCCTGGGAAAGCAGTCGAAGATGGCCCAAGCACCTGTGTGGGAGAGCTAGAAGAGGCTCCTGGCTCTTGGCTTCAGATCAGCGCAGCTCCAGCTGTGCGGCCAACTAGGGAGTGAACCAGCAGATGGAAGGCCTCTTTCTCTCTCTCTCTGCCTCTCTGTGTAATTCTTTCAAATAAATAAATAAATCTTTTAAAAAGTAAATAAATAAGAAAGACGCATGCATTTAACAAATGCTCATATTGCATCAAGTGTGATTTTGGCCAATAAAACTAGTGTTTGGATATGAAGTCAAGAATTAGATACCATCCATTAGCTCTGATTTTCCCGCCCTGAATTCGTTTCTAGTGATTGTCCCACCTCTTTCTATCTGTATTTTCCCTCCAGATTCTCCCCCACAATTTCTCCTTGATAGGGTCACAGCCAGAGCTCACCCTGGCTCTGGTTTAGTTTCTGACTCTAAGCTAGGAGAATCAGAGCTTTGCTTTCAGTATTCAACACGCATGCATGGATGAAAATCGGCCTAAGTGAAATCACTTCTTTCCCTTAGTCTTTAATCAAGGGAATTGCCGAAGCGTTCATTGCATTCAAACACCTAATTGAAAGTCAGAAATCTGCTAGCTTCTAATACACAGAGTCTGTGACAAGAGCTTCACAGGGCCCCAGTTCACTTTGACAGGTGGAATCCTGGGGGCTGGTGAGGCCTCACAGGGTTGGCATAGTCCTTTTATGTTCCAGTGGTTGGGATGTCCATCTCAGCCATTCACCCTCATGAGGTCACTGGCCCAGGTTTTAGTCTTTCTGAAGTGAATACTTTAACTCTGCAAGGTGACCTGAGACAGACCATGCAGGAGCGCGATGGAGCCCTCACTTGAGGAGCCAGCATGCAGAGGCACCGGCTGTAGATGAGCAGGGCTCTGTTGCCATGCAAACAGTGAGGCACAGCCCTCCTTCTTGGCTTTTGGGGTCCCCAGGCCAGCTGCTGGCGGCCCCCTCACAAGCTGAGGCAGGGCCCTGATTCCGCAGGCGCAGCATCACTGATCTGGACTTGCGCTGGGCAGCGGCCGACCTTGGCAGTTGTCAGCATGCCATTTTGAGACAGAAGAGGGGCTTATTTTGTCTTTCCTACTTCCTGCTTCCAGCTGAATTGGATCGCAGCCAAATGACATTTGGCAGGATGCCAAGATAGCACTTACCTCCCCCATGATAGGTAGGGGGTGTGTTTGACTAAAGGCTGAAAATTGATGGTGTGGGATCTGCACTGCCAAACGCTGCCACAGGAGGAGGGTTGCCAAAGCAGGTTTTCCACTTCGTGGAGCCTTGGTGGACGGCAGCTGAGCTGCACAGCACCGTGGAGCGACCTTCTCAGGATCAGAGCTCCCACACTGCAACCAGGCACTGCTCTCCAGCCCATCGATGTATTAACGCTGCAATCCTTATAACAGCCCTCTGGGGTTGGGGCTGTGGCATCTCCCGCCCACCTCATTTCTGCAAAGGAGATTCTCAACAGGGGGCTTGAAATGCTTCTCTGATCGCACTGCTAGGAGAAGAGCCCAGTTGTCCAGGCCCCCCTCCTGCCCACTGCGTCCCCAAAAGATTCGGATGTTCTGTTCACCTGCTATTTACGTGGGTACGCTGAGGTTGGGGAAGAAAAGTTCTTTGTTGTGCTGTAGTTGCAGTTTTTTAAAATCTTTTTCTTTTAAATGTGCTATTTCCTTTTCTAAGATATACTAGTAAACTCCAAAAATATTATCTTCTCTTAAGAACATCTCTGTCTTAAAAATAAGGAAAGAAGTAGGGAAGGAAGCAGAATGGGGAGGAGGGAGGGAGAGAGGCAGGTTGGACCAAGCGATGAGACGCATCGGCAGAAAGGAGGGAAAAGTCAGAACACTTCTACCCCTCGCCCCACCTCCGTCAGCGTCCCTGGCTGTGGCTGCATTGCTCAGGCTCCTGGCCCCTACCTACTGGCCGTCGATGGTCCCAGCTTCCTCCAGATGGTCAGGCCCCTCCTCACTGCTCCTCCAGCCCTGGCGGTGGAGAGAGGTAGGAGCTAATCACTCATCATCTCAGGGTTCCTGCTTTGCTTTCCCAGAGTTCCCATCACCTGTGCAACCAATTTCTTGCTTTAATTCCCCTTCTGGAAATACATAGAATGATGTCTGTTTACCTGGCTGGATCTTGTCTGGTTCACCCTGTGACTGCTGTGTGAGGGTCTCCCATCCCTTCCTAGAGCTGAGCATGTTTCTAAAAACAGCCTTGAATTTGCTTTTCAGGGCAGATACTTACACACACATAATGTCTAGTCATCCCCATACTTCCAGCTTGGCAGCAGAAATTCCAAGAAAAACCCAGAGTGCTGAAGAGCGAGGAGGTTGCACTGGGTTCAGTCCCTTCCCGCCACCCCACCCTCCAGACACAGACTCCAGACACAGACACTTCCAGTAATTCTGCAGGCTCTGTTGCAGCTGGGTCACTCTGCTACTAAACCCCGGACCCAGGATCCCACCAGAGGGGCAGAAAGGTTTTGGCTCAATCTCCCAACCACCTAGTGCTGTCATCCAAACCGCAGGGTTCATCCTGCCTGCCAGCTCTTTACTGAGAGACTTACATCGTGTCTGGCCTAGTGCCAGGTGCCCAGAGGACACGGAGCCCAGGGAGACCTGCTGCTGGCTCTCTCAGAGCTGAAAGTTGCGTTGAGGGCTGGACCTGAGGGAGAGGGTGATAAATGAGCTTGGAGAGGACACGGGGGGTGCCCAGGGGAGAGAGTGGCCAAGTGTGGTCTTTCCCTACCGAAGTCTGAAGAATCTGGAAGACTTCTTCAACAAAGGGACAGAAAGCTGGCTTTTCAAGAATGGGATGGAGAAGGGCCTGGGAGGGTGTTTTGGGTCTAAGCAGGGAGGACCAGCAAGAGCATCAGGGGACACAGTAGACAGGCCCTGGCCCCTGGAGGGAGCAGACCTGGGTGGTGCTCAGACTCCCTGAAGCTTGCTGTCCTCCACATTCCCCCCGACTCCAGGTACCCCACCTGGAACAGCTGGTCCCAGTGAACAGAGGACAAGGAGACCATCGCAGCTCCCTGTGAGCTTGTCCCCAGCTCCTCCCTGCCTCCCTGCCCCTTGCTGATTCTCCCCCTCCCCCCCTGCAGTTGCCCTTCCTCCGCCCCACTCTGGAGGTTTATTTTCCATTCCTTTGGTGGCCCTGCTGTTTGCTTGCTTGCTAAGAAATTTATACATTCCAGACTGCATCCAAGACAGTGTGGGGTGGAAACCAAATGCAAATCAACTAGAGGGAAGGGGCAGAGTCAGCAGAAACCTAAAGGCCTCCCGACAGCAGATCCCAAGCCTGTGCAAGCATCCGAGCTGCCCCTCTCCTGCTTTCTGCCCTGGGTCAATGCAACTTATGTATGGTCCCTTCTCTGCCTCCTAGAGGCTCACGTATGCTTGCTCGGGCTTTGCACAGGAGCCCAGTACTGGGCAGGGGCAGTGGTTCCTTCCCCTCTCTCCCCACCCTGCCTGACCCTCCCGCCACTGTGTGCCTTGGCTCCAGCACTTCTGTTCCTAAACCCTTGAGTTCAGATCCTCACCTGCTGAAGAATCTTCTGGAACTGGAACTCCCATCTGCACGGGGAGGGTGTATTTGGCCTACGACAGTTCAACTCTGTGGAAGTCCCCAGTCGCTCAGTGTGAATTCATGCAACCTCTCTTCCTGGGGACAGGACCTTGGGCACCGTAGCTCGGGATCTTCTTTTGACTATAACCGCTTCCTCCTCTTCAGGTATCCTGGAGTCAGCATGGTTCAAATCCCACTTGGTTGTTCACAGCACCCCTCCCCCAGCCCCAGTCTGCACTAGCCATTAATCTGAGCACTAGGGCTATAGAAGTAAGCTTGATTGACAAGAGGGCTTAGAATTCACCATCTGCTGGGGCTGGTGTCATAGCGTAGCAGGTAAGGTAAAACCACCACCTGAGACGCCAACATCCCATATGGGTGCTGTTCCACTTCCAGTGCAGATCCCCGGTAATAACAACACAGGATGGCCCAGAGTTTCGGGCCCTATTGCACATGTGGGAGACCTGGAGGAAGTTTCTGGCTCTGGCTTCAGCCTGGCCCAGCCCACCACTGCAATCATCTGGGAAGTGGGTCAGCTTTCTGATCACCTCAGTTCTCAGTGCTCCCTTATCATGGAAGGCATTCAGGGGTAGTATCAGTAAGCCTTACTCATGGATTTGGATGTGGGCAAGGAGAAAATGATACAAATTTAACATGATTTAAGGATCCACCCATATAAAGGCCTATGAACAGGGCCCTGGTAGGGGATAAGAGAGACTTCAAAGTGCTATTTTGAGTACAGAAAGGTTGAGATACCGGAAGGGTATCTAAATGAGTGGTGAAAGCAGTTGAGTGTTTAAGACAGTACAGTTGGGGTTTTCTGTTTGTTTGTTACTTTCTGCCAAAAACGTTCTGGCCTTACTGTGGTTTGTGTTGGAGACTCAATCCCCAGTGCAGCCATTGGGAGGTGGGGCCCAATGGGAAGTGTTCGGGCCATGAGGGCTCCGCCCTCATGGATAGATCAATGCCACTCATAAAAGGCTTGAGGCTGTGAGGCCCTCTCGAGCTCTTTTGCCCAAATGATGTCTCCTGCCCTGTTACAATGCAGCCAAAGGACCCTCACCAGATGCAGCCCCTCCGCTTCTAGAACCATAAACCAAACAAGTTTCTGCTGCTTATAAATCACCCAGTCTGTGGTATTCTGTTATAGCAACACAAAATGGATGAAAACAGACCTGGAGCTCACATTTTGTTGTTGTTTATAAATATAGTCAACTTAAATAAAATGAAACTACTCTTTTGGTGAAGAGGGGCTGTGATTAATGCTTGGCCAACTCTAATGGAATAAGCTAAACTCCTTTAAACCATCAAGCTCATTTACAAGCTCTGTTTATTAAAATCGCTTAAACATTTCAAACTCCTTGCTTAAATTTATCACATTTGGTTTCCTAGTTAGCATTTAAATAATTGACATGACACTTTTATATCCAATTAAGGCAGACTATTTTATATACATAAAAAATCTCTACTAAATCCGGTAAATTAAATCCATAAATAGAGTGATTCTATTCTAATAATGTTAATGAGCTATGTCAATATTTGTATGCCCATCAACTTAAAATCACAAGCCTAAAATCAATTTCACATTTTAAATTGGAATCACAAGCTTTTAAAATATTCAAATTACTTACATAAGAAACATGCACAAAATTGTTCTTAAATTTAATGCTATGGTTTGGATACGGTTTGAGTGCTTCCTTCAAGAGTTTGAGCTGAAATTCAGTCCCCACAGTAAAGCTTTAATCGACCACGATGTTTAGAGGGGGCCCTTTGGGAGGTGGTCAGGACTGGGTTAGGTCATCAGGGTGGAGCTCCATGACCATGACTGGGTCTAGGTGGCTTCACAATGAGAGGGGAAAGACCAGAGAGACACACACACACGCAGGTGCACTCCCTGTCTCTTACCATGGGGTGCTCTGTGCTGCCCTGGGACTACACCAGCAGGAAGGCCATCACCAGATGCAGGTCTTTGAACCTGCAGATCCCTGAGCTGAGAAAGCCTCTTTTCTTTATAAAGTCACACAGCCTCAAGTTATTTCCTTACGGTAATGCAAAATGGAGCACTACCCTTAACATGAAGGTAGCGATATTATATTTATTTTCTCATCTCAGTATCTAATTCTAAATAGTCCCAGACTTGGAGAGTCATGTACTGAAAAACAGCGCAGATTTACTGCCTCAAGGATTTAAACCTGCTGCATCAGGAGCTGAGGACCACACTACAGCTTCACAGAGCCAAGGTGACCTGGAGCCAGAGAATGTTCCAGAACTCCATTGCTGAAGAGTGGACAGCCTGAGCACTGCCTGGGTTACCATGACAACAGGAAGTGCCCAGTTGGCACCCTTCAGGGAAGTGTGATTTTAAAATCTTCATCCCATATACCTCTAAGTTCTTATTTTTAGTTAATAGAAGGAAGTTGGCAACTCCACCTGGCTTGGCTAACTTCCTCTATGACCTCATTGGCTTCTGCATTTATTTGGCACCCTAAAGAAATGGCTAACATAATTCCATCCTGCTCTCATGGCATTTTAATCCTGAACATTTGGCCCTGACCCAAGATTCTCAAGTCACAAGAACAAAGCCATTCCCCTTCCTTGTGACCTTTTAGGATTTCCAAAGTGGGCTAACGGCATCTCACACTCCATTAGAGCAACCTCTCTTCCTGTACTGAATCTCAGCTTTGGATACTGTTCTCCTTCGATGTTCTGCCTCCTGCTCCTGGATGCCCTGGACATTAGCTGTGGCCACCCAAGCAGGGTGCTCTCTGGTCTCCCTGTGCTCTGTCAACTCCCTGTGCTCTGTCAACTCCCTGGTGGGTGACTGTGACGAAACACTGTCCTGTCCATGCTAATATGGACCTAACTCCCCTAAGTGAAGTTTCCCTCTTGGCCAAGTGGCACCTTTGAATGAAACCTATGGGCGAGACACAAACCATATCCAAGTTTCACGATGAAGTTTTTCTCCTGGCGGTGATGAAATCATTCCATAGCTCCCCATTTTGAGGCCTAGAAACTATAACAGACTCTCCAAGCCTCCCAGACCACGGTGTCCAACTTTGAACACGGTTGTCACATGACTGCATTGAATGAACATGTGAAAGGAGGTTAATAAGAGCTTGGGGCTGCAGAGGGAAGGAATAGCATTACCCTTAGCTTGTTAGATACTGTACCTGCTGGGAGCTGCCTGACCCGCCCTGATGTGAAGTCAGTGTGGAGCATGCTCAGGCAGCAGGCTTGTCACACGTTCCTGCCCCTGGGAGATGTTCCCTTCTGGATTTTACATTGCTTCCAGGGTCCCTTCCCCTGCGGCACTGCCCTGCCAGTGAGGTGAGTTGCTGGCCTGGCAGCTCCTATGTTTCCCGTTTTCTCATCTCAGATGCAGCTAACTGGGGCCATTCCAAGATAATTCCATGACACAGGCATGAAATCTGCTGCCTTGGGTGCATCTCTAAGCCTGATGCAGGGCTCAGGGGGCCTTTCAGACGGTTTACGTGATTGAATGGACTGCCCACTTACGTGCGGTGTTGCCATCCCTTGGACTCTAGGTGTTCTTTTGTTCCTTTAGCTTCATACATTGAAAAATTTCACACACAGAGAAAAGCTAAAATAAGAGTCTGATGAAAATCTGGCACGCTGCATCTAACAGTTTGCTGGATCAGCGCTCTCTCTCTCTCTCTCAACACACAGCCACACACACCACTCTTCTTCTAAGGGAATTGCAGATACGGTGTTCCATCACTCATACTTCACCATGCACGTCTCACACAGCTGCACCGTCACCCAACTCCAAGTTCATTTTGAGAGTCCTGGTTGTCTTCTTGTTCTTGACTCCGGTCAAGGTTCATCCTTTGCATGTGGAGGTCATGTCTCCAGCTACCTGCAGCAGGGCTTCTCCCTCTCTGTCTTACATGCACGTCACCAGAGAGGCTGGTCCATGCACGTCTGAATCCCACAGGGCCGGGTGGGGCCCAAGAGTCTCTCATTCTAAGAAACTTGCACTGGCCGAGGACCACACTTTGAGTAGCAAGGTTGGGACGTGTCCCCTAGTGTTTTTCCTTTGGTGACACTGACCACAGAAGGAGTCCAGTCCCACTTCCTGCAGAATGATCCACACGCCGAGGATTTCAACCAGGAAATTAACTGGTTTCTCTAAACTTCTCCTTGATTGTAAATCAGAAGTTCAGGGTGGAGGCTTGGTTCTTTTCTATGCAGACATTTATGGCAGGAACACTCCAGAAGTGGTGATGAGTGTGTCCTAGTGTACCCCAACAGGGCTCTCAATGTCATCCACCCTGTTACTAATGCTGTGCTAGGCCTTCCCAGTGGTGGCCAGCTTCTCCATGGCCACTTTTTAAAGATTTATTTATTTGAAAGGCAGAGTGACAGAGAGAGGGAGAGGGAGAGGGAGAGGGAGAGGGAGAGGGAGAGGGAGAGGGAGAGAGAGAGAGGCCTTCTATCCACTTGTTCCCTCTCCAAATGGTCATAATGGCTGGAGCTGGGCAGGGTTGAAACCAGAAGCCTGAAGCTCCTTCTGGGTCTCCCACGTGGGTGCAGGGACCACATACTTGGGCCACCTTCCTCTTTTTTTCCAAGCATATTAGCAGGGAGCTGGCTCAGAAGCAGAGCAACCAGGAACCACTGCTCCGTATGGGATGCTGGTGTTCAAGGTGATGGCTTAACCCACTGCGCCACAACACTGGTGCCTCCAATTTTTTTTTAATGAAAATTTTAAACATGCCCGCAAACAGATACAAATAATCTAACAGCACAGAGGAAAAACAAGATTTCAGGTTCCCAGTGGCAGTGTCTCCAGGGGAGCTCTCTGCCACCACCAGGCTTCTGCGGGGGTGGGGAGCCTCTCGCCCACCTCTGTCCCTTTCTCACCTGGATCCCAAAGCAGGGTTGTCCCACAATGGCAGTGGTGGCAACAGTATCCACCATCATCACCTTATCCTCAGCTGTGTACCAAGCAGGATGCCAACCCCACGAGGGGACACAGTGGCCTACATGGGTGCCCTCAAATTTCACGGTGAAATTTCCCAACCCCAGTGTGACATGACGGTGTTGGGAGGTGAGGCTGCGAGGAGGTGACTAGGTCCCAAGAGCAAAGCCTTCGCGCAGGGGACTGGTGCCCTTAAGGAGACATGCTGGCGACTCCTCTGACCCTCTTGCCACCTGTGAGGACGCAATGAGAGGTCAGCAGTCTGCAGCCCACTCTTTCTATTGTTCACAAGCCCCAGGTCTCCAAGTTTCTGAGAATTTGTTAGAGCAACTGGAGGGAGGAAGTATGGTTAACCCCATTTTATACTTCCACCTAAGGTCACCATAGAAATGAGGATTTTCCCCCCTGAGAAGCCTGGCAGAGCAGGAGTGGGAACCTAGGCTGCTCTAGTGCTTGACCCCTACAACCCGCGGCCACCTTTGGCTCATGGACACGACTCACGGAGGTAATATTGAGATGTGACTCCATATGAGTTGTTAAAGAAGTAACAGCAACGTCACCAGGGCTTTTCCAGAGTGATTTTAAAAATGAATTCCAAGGCGAGTTCTTGGTAAAAATGTTCATACGTTTGCAAAGTGGATGAGTAACAGAAGCTCATAGCCAAGGATCTTTTGTTCTCTTTGTTCCCCACTCACGCAGTCCATTGAAAATGAGGCATATCTGGCCCGGCGTGCTGGACGGCGTGGGAAGCTTTCTTGACACCAGAGTAGCCACCCTGTGAAATGGTGCACTCAGGACACTGACACCCAAGGAACAGCAGCCAGGAGGGCTGAGAGGGGCAGGAGAGAGCCGGAGGGAGGAGCCAGGCGGCATCCACCGGCGTCTCCTGAGGGGCTCCTTCCTACACAGTCACCATGATCTGATCCAGGGACTTCCGTGTGAAGTGGGGCACCGTGGCCTCTTTGCTGGGGTACCCCACAGGGAGCAGCATCAGCAGCTTTTCATGGGCGGGGCGGCCCAGGAGCGCCCTCAGACGAGGCCCACAGTTGAGAGGAGTGGTGGTGACGGTCACCAGCCCTGCATTCTACAACGGAACCGGAAGAGAATGCACTTTAGTCTGCAGGCAAGAGCACAGCCCTGCTACACCTGCCTGCTCTGTCGTTTCCCTCAAGTTGGGCAGCAAGGAGGCTGCCAGCTCAGGCGATGAGCATCTCAGCTCCTGCCTCCACTCCCCGACCTCCCCACCCTCTGCAGCTGGAAGCTTCTAGAAGAAGAAAATACTAATCTTATTTTCCAAAGCTGCATAAGAAATAAGAATGGGTATTTTGTAGTTAGAAATTTAGGGATCCAACCACACCAAAGGGCTGGCAAACAGCAGAAAATTCCCTTTAGCTAAGGGCTCGGTCTACAACTTGGTGCACTACTGAAATGATAAGAGCAATCCTCCTAGCCCTACCTCTTTCACAGTGTTCCTACTAAATACTCTTTTCTGAATTCCAGCTCCCTGACTGTGATCTGTTACCAATAGATACAATGTTGGCTTTGGACCACCTCTAGGATCTGTCCTGAAGGGCTCTCATGCTATATCATCATCTGCCTTGATTTCCAGAGTTTTACAATGCCTCAGCTACCGTTCTCAAGAACATAGGCATGAAAAATATATGTCTTTCTTCTTCCTCTACAGGCTAAGATCAGCTCTACTTCATCATGGTGTGTCTCATCCTTTATCATATCTGCTCATATTGTTTGAATTTGGAATGGGTAAATCGTGACCTTCTCATTGAGAAAATATTTACATCTTAATTCGGTGTGATTTTATATTTTGATCCTCCTTGAAAACACAGCTTTTGTTCTATACTGAATTTTGGATGTCTTAGAAATCTGTGAACATGAGGGCTTCCGGCAAGATGGCGGAATAGGAAGGGAGCACACTGATAGTCTGGGGAGAGATAGTTTAATAAAAGTGGAGATACTGCAGGTTCAAGGAAGAGTAGGGGAGGAAACAGCAGAAGAAACTCTTCCGGAACGCGTGACTCACAGCGGACCTGCGTGGAGAGCGTGGGAGCCCACAGTTCGGGACATCAGCGGCAGACTCAACACACCAGCGCTGGAACGCGAGGTGAGCCGAACCTCAATAGCCCGAGACACCGGCAGGCAAGCGGAGAGAGGAGACTAGAGGGAACGACCCCCGGGGGGGGAAGTTCACAAGGCTAACTGGAAGAGAGAGAGAGAGAGAGAAAAAAAAAAAAGGGTGACTAGTACGGACACGGGTTTCTCTCTCTCCGCTCACCTCTCAAGGGCGAGCAAGACAAAGAGCAGGCGCCATCTTGGACATACGTCATAAGCAGAGCGACCTCAGGTCTGCACCGGCCCTGAGCCTAGCAGAAAAACCTGACTCTGGGCGGGGCGAATTAACAGGAGATTAGGAGCTAGTAAATTTGTGGTGCTACTGAACTGAGACTGTGAAAAAAGAGACGGTGGGGGAGAGAACTCACGGAATTCACGTGAGCACTCTCCAGAGACGCTACAATTCCGTAACTTTGGCAACCCAGTGGGAGGCTGAAGGAGAATTTGAGCCCACTCTGAGGGCTGAACAGATTCCCTGTGGGGATCTTGGGAAAGAGCTTCCGATCTCTGGCTCCTGTGGGTATATCATTTGCCTGCTAACTACCTCCAACTTCGTTCAGCTGTGCGGAATTACTTCCCTTTTGAATCAAAAAAAAAAAAAAAAGAGAGAGAGAGAGAGAGAGAGAGATTTACCACGCCTAACCTGGGAGTGTCACCTTTGGCACAACAAACAGAGCTCTCAGGCCACACCCATCTCAAGCCCTAAGGCTCCATCAAAAACAGATAGTCCACTTAATCTAGAGTCATAGTATAACAAGAAAAAGCACCACAGTGAAGAAACCAAATATCTCCAATATGCCAAATAACAAATGCAAAAACCGAGGTAATAAAAACAAGGAAGTCACCATGAAGCCCTCAAATGAAAAAGACACCCCAATTCAAGATTATGAAGATGATGACATAGAAGAAATGCAAGAAGCAGATCTCAAAAAATTGATAAGAACATTAAGAAGTTCTCAAAAACAAATTCTGGAACTACACAAATCCTTAATGGACAAGATAGAAAATCTCTCTCGTGAAAATGAAATATTAAGGAGGAATCAAAATGAAACAAAACAACTAGTACAACAGGAAACTGTGATAGTGACTGAAGTGAAGAATTCAATAGATCAAATGAAAAACACAATAGAGAGCCTTACAAACAGAATGGGTGAAGCAGAAGAGAGAATATCGGACTTAGAAGACAGAGAACAGGAAAGGATACAGTCAGACCAAAGAAAAGAAGAGGAAATTAGAAATCTGAAACATATTGTTGGGAATCTTCAGGATACTATTAAAAAACCCAACATTCGGGTTCTAGGAGTTCCTGAAGGCATGGAGAGGGAGAAAGGATTAGAAGGCCTTTTTAGTGAGATATTAGCAGAAAATTTCCCAGGTTTGGAGAAGGACAGAGAAATCCTAGTACAGGAAGCCCACAGAACCCCTAATAAACACGACTAAAAGAGATCCTCACCACGACACGTTGTAATTAAACTCTCCACAGTGAAACATAAAGAAAAGATCCTAAAATGTGCAAGAGAGAAACGTCAGATTACTCTCAGAGGATCTCCAATCAGACTCACAGCTGACTTCTCATCAGAAACTCTAAAAGCTAGGAGGGAATGGCGAGATATAGCCCAGGTACTAAGAGAGAACAACTGCCAGCCCAGAATATTATATCCTGCAAAGCTATCATTTGTGAATGAAGGTGAAATAAAGACTTTTCATTGCAAACAGAAATTGAAAGAATTTGTTGCCACTCGTCCAGCCCTGCAAAAGATGCTTAAAGATGTGTTACACACAGAAACACAGAAACACGGTCATCAATATGAAAGAAGGTAAAGGAAGGAAACCAAGGAAGGAAACCTCACAGCAAAAGATCACAGGGAATTCAAAGCATATATTAGAACTTATCTTTGGCAAATGGCATGGCAAAGTTACCACTTATCATTAGTCACATTGAACGTGAATGGCCTGAACTGTCCAGTTAAAAGACACCGATTGGCTGATTGGGTTAAGGAACAAAACCCATCTATTTGCTGCTTACAAGAAACACATCTTTCCAACAAAGATCCATACAGACTGAAAGTGAAAGGCTGGAAAAAGATATACCATGCCAACAGAAATGAAAAAAGAGCGGGCGTAGCCATCTTAATATCGGACAACATAAACTTTACCACAAAAACTGTTAAGAGAGACAAAGAGGGACACTATATCATGATTAAGGGATCAATTCAACAGGAAGATATAACAATTATCAATGTATATGCACCTAACTACAGGGCACCAGTTTATCTAAAAGATTTATTAACGGACTTAAAGGGAGACTTAGACCCCAATACAGTAGTACTGGGGGACTTCAATACTCCACTCTCAGAAATAGACAGATCATCCGGACAGAAGATCAACAAGGATACAGTAGATTTAAACGACACTATAGCCCAAATGGATCTAACAGATATATACAGTACTGGGGGACTTCAATACTCCACTCTCAGAAATAGACAGATCATCCGGACAGAAGATCAACAAGGATACAGTAGATGCCATAAAGCAAGTCTCAGAAAATTCAAAAGAATTAGAATCATACCATGCAGCTTCTCAGACCATAAAGGAATGAAGCAGTACATGGAAGCTTCTCTAGGATTGACCACATACTAGGCCATAAAGCAAGTCTCAGAAAATTCAAAAGAATTAGAATCATACCATGCAGCTTCTCAGACCATAAAGGAATGAAGTTGGAAATTAGTAACTCAGGAATCCCTAGAGCACACGCAAACACATGGAGATTGAACAACATGCTCCTGAATGAACAATTCGTCATAGAAGAAATTAAACGAGAAATCAAAAACTTTCTGGAAGTAAATGAGGATAACAGCACAACATACCAAAACTTATGGGACACAGCAAAAGCAGTGTTAAGAGGAAAATTTATATCAATAGGTGCCTACATCAAGAAATTGGAAAGACACCAAATAGATGAGCTTTCAATTCACCTCAAGGATCTAGAAAACCTACAGCAAATCAGACCCAAATCTAGTAGGAGAAGAGAAATAATTAAAATCAGAGAAGAAATCAACAGGATTGAATCAAGAAAAACATTACAAAAAATCAGCCAAACGAAGAGCTGGTTTTTTGAAAAAATAAACAAAATTGACACCCCATTGGCCCAACTAACTAAAAAAAGAAGAGAAAAGACCCAAATCAATAAAATCAGAGATGAAAAAGGAAATGTAACAACAGACACCACAGAAATAAAAAGAATCATCAGAAATTACTACAAGGACTTGTATGCCAGCAAACAGGGAAACCTATCAGAAATGGATAGATTCCTGGACACATGCAACCTGCCTAAATTGAACCAGGAAGACATCGAAAACCTAAACAGACCCATAACTGAGACAGAAATTGAAACAGTAATAAAGGCCCTCCCAACAAAGAAAAGCCCAGGACCAGATGGATTCACTGCTGAATTCTACCAGACGTTTAAAGAAGAACTCCAATTCTTCTCAAACTATTCAGAACAATCGAAGAAGAGGGAGTCCTCCCAAATTCTTTCTATGAAGCCAGCATCACCTTAATTCCTAAGCCGGAAAGAGATGCAGCACTGAAAGAGAATTACAGACCAATATCCCTGATGAACATAGATGCAAAAATCCTCAATAAAATTCTCGCCAATAGAATGCAACAACACATCAGAAAGATCATCCACCCAGACCAAGTGGGATTTATCCCTGGTATGCAGGGATGGTTTAATGTGCGCAAGACAATCAATGTGATACACCACATTAACAGACTGCAGAAGAAAAACCATATGATTATCTCAATAGATGCCGAGAAAGCATTTGATAAAATACAACACCCCTTCATGATGAAAACTCTAAGCAAACTGGGTTTGGAAGGAACATTCCTCAATACAATCAAAGCAATCTATGAAAAACCCACAGCCAACATCCTATTGAATGGGGAAAAGTTGGAAGCATTTCCACTGAGATCTGGAACTAGACAGGGATGCCCACTCTCACCACTGCTATTCAATATAGTTCTGGAGGTTCTAGCCAGAGCTATTAGGCAAGAAAAAGAAATTAAAGGGCTACAAATTGGGAAGGAAGAACTCAAACTATCCCTCTTTGCAGATGACATGATTCTGTATTTAGGGGACCCAAAGAACTCCACTAAGAGACTATTGGAACTCATAGAAGAGTTTGGCAAAGTAGCAGGGTATAAAATCAATGCACAAAAATCAACAGCCTTTGTATACACAGA